AGCAGGGGAAGATCCCTTGGCAGTTAGGAAGAAGGGTGTCCAAAGCCTTGGGATAAGCGTCACATTTGAAGGCAGTTAGATGAGGGCCCATCAAGTGTAATAGATTCTCGGTGTTTGTTAGAACAAGGAACAGTTAAGAAAAATTGACTAAAGCTTATAAAGTTGGCATAGTGGCATATACCTTTATGTTGAGTTTAACATAAAATTTTAATCCCATTATGAATGAATAAATAGTTGACAACTGCAAGTAAAAACAGAGGTTAAAAAGTAGACTGAACAAATCATGAGTGCATAGAAGTACCTCAATGTGTTTCAGCTTCAGGGATTCACCATAAATACGTATGCAAATACACTTTTATAAGATCAGGTTATTTTTTAAAAAGGGGATCTGTTTTATAATTATTCCATAAAATAACTGCTTAGGAGCTAAATTAAAATAAATAGTCAAAATAAATCTTAGATTTTGAATTCTATTTATGTAGTTGTCAAGAAAAATGTAAAACATCCCTATGTAAAGTTATAGGTTCCCTAATAAAAAAATTAACTTACAATTGCATAATTTACTACCTAGCAGCAATAAATAATCATACAGTAGAAAATTAACTCAGACACCCAATATAGCAAAGCATCAAATAAGCCCCCTTTGCACCATCCACTCCTCTCCCAAAGTAACCATCTTCCCCCCCCAAAGCCTGTCAAATAAATGGCTTTTGAGCATGCCCAGAAGTTTCCAAGTGTAGGCGATTTTAGATCAAAGCAAGTTCAAGAATCGCAGAGCCAACCCCCCTGGTCCAGCTCAGGCAATTGTGCTGACCACTAGTGAAAGACTAATTTATAGGCCTAAAGGTATTTCTCTCTCTCTCCCTCGGCGTAAAAAGCTTAGATCTATTAAAACAATTGCTGGGAAGCTCAAGTACTATAATAATGAAACAAAAACCATTGTATTAATGCTTGTGTAATTTTTTAAAAAGTTAATTTAGTACATATTGAAAAGGTTTCAGTTTTGTTCTGAATATTTCTTCCAGTAGGTGATAGTTATTACTGTGCTGCATTTTCCATTGCAGGAAATAAGATGCTGATCTGTTTTAATTTTAGAAGTATTTAAAGTGCAAGAATCTGAAAATAGATGTGGGTGGAATAAATTGTAATGTATAGAAGTTGATATAGGTAGGAATATGTTTGTAGTTAATTGACCATGTAACTCTCCATTATTAGAGCCCTGCAAATCTCTGGATATCGCGGACCATGTTTGTGGAGCAAATGCGGATACAAATTCTGTATCTGTGCAAGGCTCTAACCGTTGTTATTAATCCTCAGTCTGTCTTGATGTACATGCTAGTTTGTTTCCACTACTGTATAAATATAGTATCAGTTGGGTTTTTAATACAGAAAATCTTGATTTTTTTTTTTTAAACATCTTCCCACCGTGGTCTAAATCTAACACCATGTGTTAGGTGTGGTTCTAATTCAGAATCTTCCTTACTATTAGAAATGACGCTTCTCAGCAGGAATAGTAGCTGTAATTTCACATAAACCAGGATGTGGAAAAAGAATCCCATCACATTTGCTTCAAGTATAGTAACAAAAGCTGAAAGAAATTGCACTCAAGTTTAGAAAATAGAGAAAATTAGAGTAGAGTCTTAGACCATTATATTAGAAACATTTTTTTTATTATGTAGGCCAGCACCACAGACAACTACATGGAAATCTTGAGTAGATTTATTTCTTAAATGTCAGTTAAGAATTTGATTTGATTAGACCAGATTTAGCAATAAAATTAGAAGAACAGTGTTGATATAAGCCTCCCAGAGTTTTATGCCTAGACCCAAAGGGTATTGGTTCAGAATTACTGGGGTGGAATGAAGTGGGGAATGTTGTAAGGTATTAGAACCAGTGACAAACCTTGTTAATGGAGAAATAATGAAGAAAAATGAGGGTCATTTGTTTGTAGATAAAGGTCCAGAAATTAAAAAAGGAATGGAATGTACAGTAACCATGTAATTACTGAGGGGGAAATGATTTTCCTTTTTACTGGCTTGACGACAATACAAGTATAGAAACTGAATCTAAAAGTGAAAATACTACTGCTAGAAATGTATCTGTAAATGAGATACTGGAGGAGCAAACTGTAAATGCTCTTCCCATCAGGCCCTCCAACAAAAACAGAATCTCCAACATTCCAAAAAACAAAATCGATAATTGATAAATTTACAAGGGAGGGGAGTGTGTGTGAAGCTAAATTTTGGTGACTGTGTGTGGTTGCTGCACCTCTGATATCTGGAATGCACATTTAACAGACTTATCAGTTGGAAGCAGCTGCTCTGGAGTCTGAACCCAAGAGCAAAGGGGGCTGGATGTAACTTGTGAATAAGGACTCACATGCTGGGCTAACTCAACTTATTTCATTGTTTTATTTTTTCCTTGTCTTTCCAATCCAATGACAGTTATGAAATCAAAATACATACTTACTTCAGAGGATCCCAAATTGGTCTGTTGAGCAGTTTGTGTTGCTTCATGGAGAGCTGGATGGTCACTGGCTCTCTTCATTGTTTTCACTTTCTTTTACAGTTATCTAGTGTAACATTGCTGCCTCTGGCAGGACACAACTGAGAGTATCAGTTCAGGACAAACTGCATAGAGCAGGGCAGTTACAGACCAAGGCTGGGTTTCCTTTATTATTAAGGCACGCCAAACCAGCCAAGCAGAGAGGACTTCGATCTCACCCCACTGGCTAACCATAAGTCATACAAGCAATTCCCTTAGACACTCCAGTTTCCCAGTGTCACCATCAGTGCCACTCGTTATGACGAATGGTTATGAAAAACAATACCCCAGTAAAAGAAAAAAGGTTCTCCCGATCCCAAAGGACCAAGCCCCAGACCCAGGTCAATATACAAGTCATATTACCCACAAATCATGCTGTTGCCAATCCTTTAGAATCTAAAATCTAAAGGTTTATTCATAAAAGAAAGAAATATAGATGAGAGCTAGAATTGGTTAAATGGAATC